AAAGTGGAAGTTAGTAATAAGCTATTAGATGATTGGCCATTACAAGAATTACACAGAGATTGACATTCTTAGAGTCAAGCTAATCTGTTTTTCTTGTCCCTGCTCACAGGAAACAGAAAATGACCATTTAATTACTGGGAGGGGGAAAAATCTCCTCACAATAAATGAGAACGTTGTGATACAGCTATTTAGTTTATAGCCCAATTTATTGGAGAAATCCAAGTGCAATTCAACTAAGGATGTTATTTAATTTTTAATTGGATGGACTCAATGTGCTAAAAGTACCAAATGTTCTCACCGTAACACAAAAAACAGCCTTTAGCTTATTTCCTCTTTTTATTCTGGAGGACAAGAAAATATGTGCTTTCCCCCCATAATAAATGGGGTTTTAAAAGCTTAAGGATTGTACTCAGATTGCACAAGGAGAACCTAGATAAGAAGCAAGGCTCCAGTAGCTTTCACCAAATGGAGTGTAAAGTTCGCTTATTAGATATTATTATTTATTTCATTTCTTTATCTCCCAGTAGCCAAAGCTCTTTGAGTGGTTCACAGCAGTTCACCAAAAAATAAAATAAAATAAAATAAGATTGGATAGGATAGGATAGGATACAAAACACACGCATGCACTCACGCACACACATGTATGTATGTATGTGTAATTACTGGGATGGGTAATACTCTCAAGCCCTTCATCATTACCTCTGTTATGCGTTATCCATGCATAAAAGTCTCGGCATAAAGGGCCATCTTTACCTGGCACAGAAGGACAAGGTTGGTGCCAGGTGAGTCTCAGTGGGAGATCTGGGAGATCATTTCATAGATGGGGACCCAATTAGAAAGTTCCCCTGTTTGTTGCTGGCTCTGAGCCTTCCTCACATTTGACTTTTGGAGAAAGGTCCTATCTGTTGAAGACTGTAGTTGGGAGAGGCATTCCATCAAGTCTTGTGGCCCCAGGCGTATAATCTTTATAGGTTAGAATAAGCAACTTGAATTGGGCTTGGCACTAGTGCAAGTGGACAGACCTTGCACTATATGTTTAGGCCTACAGGTCCCAGTTATTGATCTGGCTATTGCCAGGTATGTTTCTTTCGCAGATATTAGTAGGTCATTCAGAACCTCCAGTCAAACCAGCAGTTCAGAAAAGGAGTGCAGCCATCTTCCATTATTACAACTCCTAGCAGCTGAAATAGACAAGAAACTTGAATTATGCAACCTAGTATCTTAAGCTTTACTAAATGGGGGGATACAGAGCATTTATATGGAAACTCTAAATTAGCCCTACATATTTAATTTCAGCACAACGCCTTGTCAATTTGGAGAGGAAACTAGTTCTATTAAAATGACCAGCTTTTCTTGAAATTCTTTGCTGTTTTGCGTAGCTTTGTCTCAGTGTTTTTCAGTAGGCAAAATTCAGCAGCCTTTCTGCTTGGAACATGGATTCTAGCATAGATTCCAGCACGTCATTTCCTTAATGGAAATGTGGTTTGTTAGTGATTTGTGACTGCATTGCTATTTATTCTTTGTATACTGCTTTAAGGGGGCTGTGGTGTCCAATGCTATTCTTGCAATGACTTGACCCCGTGAGCTAATGATAGTATTTATATGTGCCATCCTTTTGGCAGCCATGAGGGACCTTAATTAGGCAAAATTCTGTTATTTATCTGGCTAGCTTTAACTGGAAAGGCTAATGTATGGATACTAGCAATGGAAATTTTCCTCAGCTCCACAATGGCAGCAATTGCCCTACAGCAATCCCGCTTTGCTTGCTTGACTTTTGACTAGTGTAGCATATTTTTGGAACTGAAAGAATAGTATGTGATGGAGCTAATGGAGATTTTCGAACACTTTGTTTATAAAGACATGCAGGCTATTTTACCCGCAGGCATCTCTTTGTTGCATATTTAAGAGATGAATGTACTCCAAATTCTATCTCTTGTAACTATTTAAATGAGATGTTCTTAGAATATTTTTTTATTTCCGCAATCATTGTCTATTTATTGAATGCCTGAAGAGCCCTAGTGTAAACTCTGGTGAATATATATATATATATATATATATATATATATATATAATCACAATGTATGGTAGTGATGTTCAGTATATATAGAGAGTGATTTTATACATGCATGCATGGGAGTGGGGCAAGAGCCCTGGCATTAAACCCATGTGCTTTAATGACAGTGTACAAGCCCTATGTGCAGGCAAGCCAAGCATCAGACCATCATGAGAGTAATGTGCATAGTCCAGTGCATGTCTGTAGGTCAGGATGGAGGCAGCTGCTATTGGATGTGGACCCTTCATCCATCACATGTCTAAAGGGTCTGTTACCATCATGTGTCTTACTGGGAGGAGATACAGGAAATCACTTGCCAAAGCAGCATGTGCGCATGGATTTCTAGGATTTCTAGGAAAGCATTTCCAGTGCCATTCAGTGGTACATGTACAGCCATGCCTAATAATGCATTGTATGGAGAAGCTTTTCTACATGTCAGTGTATTTGGGCACATTGGAGATCCCAATAAAGTCTCCTTGGTGAATGGCTCGGATGTTTGTCATAGCCCTGTGCCATACTAGTGGTCTGGTATAACTGTTCAAGTCTTATACACAATGGTTAGGAACCATAGAGGTCTGTTCAGATATCTCCTCCGTGCATTCATGGTTTTCATGGCCTACCTTGTTATTGCAGTTCCCAGCAACCCTTCAAAGCTGCTTTTCAAACAATAAACTTCCAGTGTGGCCTTAGATGCAACAAAGAAGAAACTGGGCAAGTGCCGGTGCGTGCAGAGAAGCATCAAACTTGCATCGGTTTCTTTAGATCCTTCTCACTTCTTTGGAAATATGCATCATAGTAAGATAGACATTTCCTGACTGAGTGGCATTGTTAATCTTCAGTGTTGTCAATAATCAATTGATGCCTTGCTTGCTTTATTGCTATCATTAACTTGCCTTTAATTATATGGGTGTGTGACATCAGCAATCTAGAATATTCACAGTACATGCAATATTTTACAAATCAGAACCATCACTATCTTCCAAAATAATAGTTTGTACTAAAAGGAAGGTCTACCTCAGTGGTAGACGACGTGCTTTGCATGCAGAAGGACCCAATTTGAATCTCAGTATCTCTAGATCGGGCTAAGAAATACTCCTTCTGTACAATCCTCTCCATAAGAAATGTCAAAGCAGCAGTAAAGAAGAAATCTTACTTTCTAGATGATTTCTTTAAAGAATCAAACAGTTTTATTTATTTATTTATTTAGCACACTTATATGCCGCCCCATTCGCCAGAGCCTCTGAAAGCTTTAGTTTATTCAATGAATACCCACTTCCCTTTTTAAGATGCCTTTTGATGACATCATAAAAATAAGCCTTGAGTACAATTTCTACAACTGCTTGCTTGAAATCTGCAATTGTTCCTCATATATTATAGCAAACCATTTCTTAACTAGTCTCCATTGCCTTCCTAGAAGCAGGAAACTTTTGATCCTTTTTAGCTAACCCCCCCCCCCCCACCTGCAGCATTCAGCTAGTTTTGCTTCCTTGGAAGGAAACGTAAGAAGGAAAAAGCAGAAGGGGAGAGCGAAAAACTGGAAGTATGAATAACTGACATGATTAAGATGACTATATCACAGATGTCTCCTGCCCTGCAAGTGGTCCAGTATGAACAGTGCTCCTCTAATGTCAGCTTAGCTAAATCATATGAAACTTCAGAAACTTGCAACAGAAATGTCTTCACATTTACCTGGGTTCCTTAGATTCACATGACCAAATGTTCTAAAGCCACATGTTGAGACCCATGGATTGTGCTGTTACAGATTTGCTCATCCAGTAGCAAATCTATAACAGAAATTTATTCATTTGGTGACCATGGATGCTCTAAAAAATCAGGATTTCCTTAGAATCTATTGATCAATTGCCAGTATAGAAAGAAGAAAAATACAGGATGTCAACCACACAGAAGAAAACCAAACTAATGCAACAGCTGAGAACAATTTAGCAAACTGTTAACAACTTATTTGCATGTTGAAAATATTAAGGGAGCAATCCTATGGCCCTGGACCAGTGACTAGGTCCATATGTTATGACAAGCAACCATGCTGCATATTTTCCCCCTTAATGTGCCTGACAGATGATCAAGTGGCTTCTACACGAGCATGGTCTTCAATCCTCACTTCCTTTGCTGTTGTTACATATCCCATCTCCAAGCGTGCCTGAAATTCAATCTCACACTGGATTGTTGGAGAAGTTCCTGCGGCTGCCCCTCTTTCCAGGGGACTCTGTAGTAGATGCATAACAGGACTGTGAAAGCCACAATGTCAGGTGTGGATGTCCAGAAAAACCACATTGAAACATGGGAACCACATAGAACAAATAATTGTTTCTTATCATAGTTTCCAAAACCACAACATACCATGACAGGGTTTGGATGACATGACAGATCATCCTGCACAAGAAACCATAATGGCTTGCCATGTCATGTGAACCCACCTAGTGTCTGAAGGATCATAAAGTTTTGCAGAATTCCAAGTGTGAAGTCAGTGTCAGTTTCATTGATTGATTCCATTTCATTGGAAATCTGTTGGGATGTTAGCGTATGCTGTGAATTGCTCCTGTTTGTATTATCTTGCCAATGGAAAGAGCAAAACAAACCATCGTTTATTAAGACCAGATGTTCTGGCTTGTTAATAGCTTTATAAACCATAGTCATAACCAAGAACAAACTCTGGCTTATGACACTGGCTTGATTGGAAAGAAAAACTTGACTTCTTGGTTCACATGTCATGCTAAAACAAGCCCGTCGCTTGGTTTAATCAATCCTTTGGCAAGAAGAATCAACCAGGAGTGATCAAGCAGTGTATAGCTGAAGAGTTCTGATTGGATGTGTGAACCAGATTAGAAATTCCAAAGAATGAATGCATGTTTAAAAATACTGTAAAAACAAGCAACAGTCTAAACATTATGAAAAGTTGGTGACACCAAATTGTGTTCTTTGTCCACAGATGGAAAGGTTGAGGTGACAAAGGAAGGTGTCAAACTGTGCACCATGGGTCCTGGCAAGGTATTTGGGGAACTTGCTATTCTTTACAACTGCACCCGGACAGCCACCGTCAAAAGTAAGGATATCTGAGTATTTGGTCTTGATATAATGTTGGCTAATGATGATGTTCAGTTTGGACAGAGCTCTGTGTTGTGAAGTGTCCGTATTTTAAAAACATTAAATATTCCAATTCTATAATTTTATGAATAATGTTTATACCCTCGAGGCTATGGATAGTTTATCCTGGGTATGACATTCACATCTTGTCTGCTTGCAAAAATGACTTTTTGCAAAAGGTGAGTAAGAAGTACTCAGTTTTGCTGCATTTTTCAGTCAGTAAAGTTTTTTCTTCTTCGGTCAGAAACTTCAGAAATGTCTGCAGTTCAGAAATATCTAAAGTAGATGAAATAAAGGAGCTGGTGGAAAAGGCAAGATACTGTGTTGCTGGAATTAAGGGATAGCTTTTCACTTATTGTGTGCTTGTTCACTTTTATATGCTCTTCATTTCCGGAAACCTAGAGGAAACAGACCGAGCAGAAACTGTTAACATGACCAGCTAGCTGGTGTTCTTATCCCTATTATTTCTCACACCATGTCCCTCCTTACTTGCCTACTTTGCCAGGTGTTGTTTCGTGTCTGATTTTTAACGGCGTCATTCTTTCCTCATTAAACAGGGGCAATGGAGAGGTCAGAACTATTGTTATCCTGAAAGATTCTGGAAAGAGAAATAGGCAGTACTTATTACTCATTTTTCTTGTTTCTTTCCCCTCATGGGTGTTTAAAACACATGGCAATTATGCATCTTCTTCTGTAGGCAATGCCTTTGTGCATAATGCTATTTAGAATGCTAACAAGTGACTTCAGTGTAATTTCTCTCACTCATTAATGCATAAATAAGTGAATGGCAGTCATGATTGTAATTAGCTTTATATCCTTTCCAAAGCATGCTGACAGGGGAGGTCACTACTTAGCATTTCAAGGCGTTTCAGCTAGATCTACATAAACACATTCACTTCCTTGAAGTGCAGAGAACTGTTTAAGAAACATTATTGACTAATAAATTTAAATGATTATTATTGCCTGTGAAACTCTGATTGGAACATCTGTTTGTTCTTCTGCCTGCAAGATAGTTCAGCTTACTTGTTGCAGCTCTGGAAAGGCAGATGTTAGGAGAAGGAATGGCAATGGTATGAAAACAGTGATAATGTTAAGCAATTCAGTTTCAAAACAAAAGCTGAATACTTTTGAAAAGTTCTGATGGACCCCCTTCTCTTCCCATGGCTGCCTATTTTGAATAGTTTCTTAATTTTCTGTAGAAATTAAAACTGTAGCAAAAAGCCAAGCTTTTACAGATGTGGCCATAATTGGCTCCTCTGCTCACCTTAGTGGGAACCCCCCACTTCTTTGCACCACAGCTCACCCCATTCACCAGGATCCCCTGAGCCACTCTGTAGCCTCCTGTGATGCTGTGCAGGCAGTCTTGGAAGAATGGTGCAGGAAAATCTATTTTAACTAGCTCAGTTTAGGTGCCTAGATCTAAACAATCTAAAAAAGGTAAAGGTTTCCCCTTGACATTAAGTCCAGTCATGCCTGACTCTAGGGGGCGGTGCTCATCTCCGTTTCCTAGCCAAGGGAGCCAGCGTTTGTCCCCAGACAGTCATGTGGCCGGCATGACTAAACACCGAAGTGCACGGAACGCTGTTACCTGCCCACTGAAGTGGTACCTTTTTATCTACTTGCATTTGCATGCTTTCAAACTGCAAGGTTGGCAGGAGCTGGGACAGAGCAACGGGAACTCACCCCATTGTGCAGATTCGAACCGGCAACCTTTTGATCACCCAGCCCAGCAGCACAGCAGTTTAAACCACTGTGCCACCTGCATCCCAAACAATCTAAACAATGTATATTTATTTAAATTTTACAGACATTCTGAAAAAAAGAAGTGCAGAGGAAAATAGCCATTTTGAAAACAGAGATTTTATTTATTCTAACAAAGAGAATAGCCTGGTTCACACATAACAACAGCCCATCATACCTTATTTTACCTGCAGAAGGTGTGGCCTTGCACTGGGTGTCCATGGGGAGCATTTTTTGCATAGTATGTTCAGGAACCGAACTTCCCATGGCTTGTTGTATCATTTGAACCCAAATGGCAGGGGTCCTTTAAGGGTGAAGTAGCCCTAAAATATTTTCACCTGAAATAACCCTAACACTTCTGAGCATTATTGAAAGATTATTTGGTTTACCATAGAGTTATAGAATAGTAGAACTGGAAGAGCCAGAGGGCCGTTCAGTCCAAGCCCCTGCTCAGTCTGGGATACCAAGTAAAACCATCCCTCTCAAATGGCTGTCCAGTTACCTCTTGAACTAAGGCAGTTCTCCTACTTTTATGACTAGGTAGGAGGAATTCATAGCCTCCACTTAAAAATAGTAAAAAAATCTGATGCATATGGGGATGACGACACTAAGTTTAAACACTAAATAGTCAAAATTCTTCATGCTTAGTCAATAATCTCTGATTTCTCTCCCCCTCCCTCTCCCCCCCTCTTTCTGTGTCACTATCTGAGAGAAACAGCAGTGGTGTTGACTAAGCATTAACAAAGTGTTCCTGAAGTCCAGTCCCTAAAAGCTGTTGTAAGTTGAACAAGCCTTCTGGCTCCTGGCAAAACGCTGCTGTGTAGGATGGAATAACCTTTCTAATATTTGTCATTTAAAAACACAAAGCTGGATGAATGACTAAATGTGCCACTAGGTATACAATGAGACAGAATGCAGAGCCTTTACTTCTTTCAGTGACATTTTTAAGGTCACAAAATGGTCACATTGGATAATCTGTATGGAGAATGAAAAATATGATAGTCGGAGCTGTAGGGAAGGATGGCATTGCTGAAAGAACACCACAAATATGGGGGCTTGGGCACGTGTGAGCGGGATGCCTTGAATAAGAAACTGTGCTCGAGTTACGCGTTTCTGGCATGCTGATCAGTTCTGCTGGTCAAGAAGAAATGATCTCAGGTAACTTTTCTTCCTATCAATCACGATAATTTGTTCCAGTACGGCAGTCTTCTGCTTATTCATTAATTTGCTCGGCTCAAATCAGATAAACCATTTCTGCTGTCTCAGGATTACACATAAGATTTAGGTTTGTGTGGAAAGGCAAAAAAGTAATTATTCAGTTTTGCTGTTGTTCATGCATTATTGAAGGATGGGCTAAAAGCATGAGATAATTAAGAAAATGACTTATTTATTTATTTATTTTTCGATTTATATCCTGCCTTTTTCCTCAAAGGACTCAAGGCAGCTTACATCATTCTCCTCCTCCATCTTATCCCCACAACAACAACCCTGTGAGGTAGGTTGGGCTGAGAGTCTGTGACTGGCCCAAAGTCACCCAGTTGGCTCCATGGTCGAGTGGGGACTAGAACCCAGATCGTCTGAGTTCAAGTCCCACGCTCTTAACCACTACACCACACTGGCTCTCACTTTGGTTATAATGAGAGAAGTCAAGCACCCAGTTTTATCCAACTACTTCTTTGCAAGATCTCTAGATATGCCTCCTTTTTCTTAGACATGGAAAACATTCCGTGCAGTTTTCTGACCACCCTTGGCTGTCCTGCTGAGTGTATATAAATTGGAAGAATCCAAGTCAAAAGAGATTCATCATGGTCTGTATGAAAGCCAAAAACTGAGGAATGTGGGTAGAGAAGCAGGAATGCCATTTAGAGAGGGTAGGGCAGGATCAGCAATTTTTCCTAGTATTTCTGGCCATATGTCTTGGCCAGATTCTCCCATGCCTTGGGAGAATCTCTGTCTTTGGCCTGCTCATTGATTTCACTAATTGACTTCTGTTAGGGACGTATAAAGTGGGCTACATTTATACCAAAGGCACACATCCTTCTGCCGCTCTTACCCTAAAAGATTGCCATTTGTCTCATGTTGATAATAATTGCTATTATGTTAGAGTGAGACTAAAAGGATCACAACAAATGCACTTAAATCACAGTATTGAATATTAATATTGAATGTTAAACCATTAGGCCTTCCCAACACTGTCCCCATGATCTATCTCCTTCTGAAATCTGAAATGGCTTTCCTGTGGGCTAGAGAAGCAAACTGTGTGAATGGAGATGAGTCCACCTTTTGCACAGATAAGGCACATCATGTCTGCCATGCGTCAAATAAAGTTGAGAGCGCCATGCATCTGCAATCTTGGCCAGATGGTGGAGGCATTACTTGGTAGAGCTTGTCACATTCTGGCCAGTAGTTGTGGTCCTTCCTGAACAGTATTATAATGACATTTAGAAAACAAGCAATCCATTTTTCCCCCCAGAGGTATGTACTGACTGATGCTTGATTTTTAAAGGTCATTGCACCTAAGAAATGTTCTTACTTTTGGCATCCTACTTTTCAGCAAGCACTAGATATTGATGTTTCAAATCATCTCTTGCATGACCATACCCTGCATTTTAAATGTCTGGATTTGTATCTGGAAAGCATGACACCTGTTGGTATTGCTGTACCTTGGCTAGTTTCACATACTGTCACTTTCCTTTGCAAATGAAACAGTATATTTATTTATTTATTTATTTATTTAGAATTTTTGTATGCCGTCCCTTCGCTTACAGCCTTGGGATGGCTCACATAAATAAATAAACATAATATAAATACAATTAAAACCCAGAAACACCCTGGCTGCACAATTAAAACCTATAGATACTAGGCATTGTTAAAATATTTTTTTTAATAAAAAGGTCTTAGCTTGGCACCGAAAAACAAATGACAGCGCCAGGCAGACCTCTCTGGGGAGTGCATTCCACAGATGGGGCACCACTGCAGAGAAAGCCCTCCTCCGGGTACTCCAGATAATGGTAGTGATAATGTTGTAGTTGTTGCACTTTGCATTTTCCCAAATAATCAAAATGCCAAAAGGCAGGCCAGCTCTCTGAACAAAATGGAGAATGTCTCCTGTGGGGTCAATAGAGAGTTTCCTCGAGAGCCAAAATTTACCCTTTACATCTCTGTTTGTTCTTGTGAAGCCATGTGTTATGGGTTCAAATTTGAGGCTGCTCATAAAAG